AAAATGGGAGGAATGATCAAGTTAAATCTATCCGCTAGAAATCACCAAGACTTACGTAGCAACATGGAATATGTCTACAAGCTCTGTTTTAAAAGACAACACTCAAAAGACAGAGATGGCTAAATACTAAAAACTACTCAAAATAAAAACACAATATAACCAATGATAAACTTCAAAATAAAATAAAAACACAATGATATAATTATGTTCCATTTTTTCAGCTCAAACTAAAAAAGTGTATTTCTGCTAACAATCATCACCAATTCTGAACAGCATGTTATGAAGTATAAATTACATCTGATTTGTAATAGGCAAAATTGACTCAAGCTTTTAAGTTAATTAACTTTAATTTTCTTTTTAATTAAAATGTCTGTCTCTTTTGATTCAGAAATTTTATTTTCTAAGTATAGAATAATTTATATGTAGAAAATATGGTCATCCCATTATCTGCTAGTGAAAAAGACTAAGCTAAATGTCCAACAACCAAGACTTGGTGAAGCAAATTGCAACATGCTTGCTTAATAAGATACAAACATCATTATGTTTGCAAAAAATTGGGGGATATGTTTTTAATGTTAAAAGAAGTTGACTGTACAGTAAGATCACAAAACCCAAGAAGATACAAGACATTAATGTTCACTGAGTATCTGCGGTGTTGGGACCCAGAGTATTTTCTTCCAAAGCTTCCTTAATAAGCATGTTTGATAAAATATTTATAAGGAAATAAGCAGAAAATATAAACTGTAGAATAGCGTGCACTAAGTAGAATTTACATCCAGACAGCATGTCTCGTGCCTTTCCCCTATCACTCCACACAGCCACAGCCCATGTCATTAATGCAGACTAAAACTACAGAAGAAGCCTCCATGGAAAACTGGGTCATCAAGCCAGGGCTGGTGGCATACACTTGAAATTCAGTACCCAGGAGCCTGAGACAGGAAGATCACAGTAAGTTTGAGGCCAACGTGGGCTCCAGAGGGGGTTCAAGGCCAGCCTAAACTATATAAGGAGACCTTGTCTCAAAAAAAAAGAAGCGCAGAGAATTGGATGGTCAAGTCACGTGTGTGGTGCACACTTGTAATACCAAGATTTATGGCAGGAAGATCACTACAAGTTTGAATCCAAGCTGGGTACACAGTGAGTTCAAGCCCAGCCTAAACTACATAAACTAGAAACAAAACCAAACCTGGGCTGTCAAAGCACATTTGAATTCTACACTCTAACTTCCTTCACTACTGGAGCTGTAGGAGTCGTAGTAAAAATATAGTAGTGTGAAAGCCTAAATCTGAAAGTCTAATCATAAATGTTTCCTTCTGTTCTTTCAGTTGCCCTCAAAAGCCAGTGTGCCTAAAATTTTTTTATTAAGAGCTGTGTACACAGAGACACACACACTGCACTTTAAGAGAGTTTAAATTGATTTTCAAAAATACTTCTGAACATACAAGCTTTTCATTTTGTTAATCACAAGATAAGCCAGGGGTGGTGGCACATGCCTGCAACCCCAGCACTCTGGAGGCTGAGGCAGAAACTTCACTGTGAGGTGGAGGCCAGCTTAAACTACTCACCATCACCCCCCAAAAAACACTAAGACATAAGTAATTACATTTTTCTTTTTTGCGTGATTGTGTTTGTTATCTGCATGGTAAAAAGAAGAGTATCTAAGGCCTTCTGTGGAGGTACATGCCTGTAATGCCATCACTCTGGGAGGCTGACAGAAAGATGCTAACTTAGTGAAACCCAACACAGCGGTACACACCTGTAATCCCAGCTCTCAAGAGACTGAGGCAGGAGGATCGCTGTGAATTCAATACATAGCAAAACCTTGTCTTTAAAAATAAAATAGAATTTTAAAAGGGCTGGGAATGTAACTTAGTGCAAAGGCCCTGGGTTCAACTCCCAATCCTGGGGATGGGGGTTATACTAATACCAGCAACCAATTTCATCTCCACTCAGCTTCTTCTCCATTGGGAAAAACCTTAACCAGCTTTCTAAAAAGAAATTCTTGGCTTTCTTTTATAAACAGCTGAAATTCATTTAGCAGTAATTAAACATTTTCCTTTAACCATTACAGCTCAACCACCACTTAGTATTCAAAATCACCAACTCTCTAGTTTCAGGACTTTTTCATCACTCTACAAAATCATCTTATACATGAGGCAGGATGGAAGAAATAAAGGTAAGGGAAAAGGGAACTTTTCAGAAAACTGCAACTCAGGACCTAACAGTTATCCAAGGCTGTAGGCTTGGGGTTTTCCCTCCAACACACACACATACCAGGGCCATCACACTCAAACCTTTTAAAATCCTCCAAGTCCATAAATTATCCTAGCTGATAAGGTAAAGGGCAGCCACCTGACATTAAGATGAAACAGAGTTCAAAGAATGTTTTTAGACAAAACACCCCATATCACCCAACTTAAAGGATACTAGGAGAACACATACAAGAGGTAGTCAAAAAATATACCGTTTAAATTTAAAAATGTATTATAGTAAAAGATACATTGCCATTAATCTCCCTCAGAATAGTCTCCCTCACTTCAGACACTCACCCCAGCGTTCTGGTCACTCTGAGGCAGAAGTGGAAATCTTGCTTCCTAAGTGCCTTTGGGAAGTGTGATCACAGCTAGCAAATGCTGCTGCCACGTGCCAGGTAGCGCAAAGACAGACTCGTAAAATGTTACGGGGTGGCCTCCTCCACCTTCCACCAAATCCAGCATCATGTGGCTTTCCCCAAAATCAAAGTAAGCATGAAGGGTAAGGGTTTGGACTGATTCAGGACATCAAGGCTGGCCCCAACCATGCAACAAAGACATTCACAAGGGACTTCCAGAACTGCTTCAGAAAGTAGCAAGGACAATGCAACACATGTTCAAGTGAGGGAAAACGTCTTGAGGTGGATTAATGCCTTTTACTGTACTAAATATTTTAAATTTTGACATTTACTATATTGTCATATCCCTCTAACCTCAGACCATAGTACCTTTCTTGAGCACCTGCTTGTACTTCTTTAATGCTGCCTAATAAATCTGTCTATGCCTCTCACTGACAAGTCCTAAAGTTATTTTTCAACAGCAAGTTAATGAACCTCCTCCGTGGGAGCACCAAGTTGAGGCTCCCACCTTCTCTTGGAGACTGTGTGGTGACATACCCATCAAGTAAACATGAACTTTCGCCTGAGTATCCCTAGTAATCTCCCATCTGCTCGCCATGGATTTGCCTTAGTGTTGATTATTCGAAACCAGCCCTGAAGATACAGTGACTTCTGGGGTTGCCTCACCAAATCTCTTAGATGCCAGCTTTAAATCCCGGGTTGGGATCTGTGCTTCTGACATATCAACTATAAGCAGACGTTTCCAGATACCCCGACCTCCCACTCAGCTCGCACAGAGAGCACTTAGGTTTGTAGTTTATTACACAGGTATTTATTATAAAGGATACAGATGAGTCACTGATGAAGAGGTATGTAGGGCGAGGGGTGGGGAAGGGCCTCAGAGCTTCTCCCTGCCCTCCCCCAGCACAGGACCCTCCTTGGGTCAGCAATATGGAAGCCCACCCAACCTCACCTCTCAAACTCACAGAGCCTAAGCTCCAGCCTCAAGACTGACGGGCCAACCTAAAAAGTGCTCCGCCCTTCTGAAGCAGGCTGTTCCCACCCTCCAGGTCACCACCTCACTGGTTACAAGGGATCCACTGTGAGTACCCAGTCACTTAGAACCTGGGGGTTCACATCTTCACATTGCAGCTATTTTCAGTGGTTTTTAGTTATCCTAGTGGTGTGATGGTGAGCCATGTGGATTCCTAAAAATCTAAATAACAGAGTTCTTCTGGTTACTATGCTAAGTGGAATTCTTTTCCCTTTTCAGACTATTTCATGCCGGCATACATTGCCAATTTTTGTCTTTTATTCTACAAATTCACTGAATTCATTAGCTTGAGTTTCTTGTGGACTTTTCATATCTGTTCTATCATTTCAGTTTTACTTCCTTTCATATTTAACTACTTTTCCTTCTCAAACTGCTACAGCTAGAACTTCCTGTACACCAAAGAGGGCCAGGAAACCTTGTTGGTTCCATCTTAAAGGAAAAGTTTTCCTGTGTGAGAGTATGCAGTAATGGGGATTGAACCCAGTCTGTCTTCTCCTTGAGCTACATCCCCAACTTTCTGAGACAGGGTCTAAGTCATTAAGTTGCCCAAACTGGAGCCAAGCTCCTGCCTCAGCTTCCCAGAGCACTGGGACAGACATGCGCCACCAGGCCCAGGTAGTCTTCCACTATTTAGAGGTTAGTGTATGCAAGTTTTTTCATAAATCCCTGTTGAATCTATAACACTGCCTAATTTTTTCTTTTGATGAAAGGAGTGCTGAAATCTTGTAAAGGCCTTGTCTGCATTACTGAGATGATCTTATGGCTCCTTTCCATTAGAATAGGATGTTAAACTGACTACTGAACCCCATCATATTCCTGAAGGAGCTTACCAGCACCGCAGTGATACACCACTACTGATTTTCATTAACACCTCCTTTGCTAAAACTTGAGAACTATCTTCCCCCTACACAGTAATTTAAGTGTCCAGCTTACTTCTGTACCCTAGAATAGCACTCAGTGACCATGTTTTCAATTAAACAGATTCTGGGTGGAAGAAACTACAGATATCATACACTTCTAAAGTAGTATTTAATTACCTGTGGCCCTGGGAGAAAGGATGCCTCTCTTGAGTTATTTTTAGCAACTGCTTCATAAAGCACTGCCCAAGGAGCTATCCAGATGAGTGCCTTCTCATGTAACTATACTAATCCAGAACCCTGACCAAGAGCATTTGAATGTGTTTCAACAAACTGATTTTTAAGATTGATAAAAGAAATGTCTCATTATAGTTTCATTTCGTGAACTAAGTATTTCACAGGGAAGCAGCTAAAATTAGGGCTAGTTTTTCAAGGCAGTCCTTCATGACTATTAAGCACCGAATATATCAGTTTTCCTAAAATAAATGGATACATCGGGTGCATTTATACTATTCTCTTAAAAGAGTTTATTATAAATCAGTTTCATAGGCCACAAGGAAATAAAAGAACTATGTACAGCCTCACAGGAAACAGGCAGGGAGCACAGGAGGGTCAAGATGAGTCTAGGGCCTTGGTGGGCGCATTCCCGGGGGAGGGGGCCCTGTAAGGGAAACCAGACAATCCGGTGAGACTCCTCGAACAACAGCATAACAAACAAACAGGTCTGTGGTTACATGCTTCTGTGGAGCTACTTCCATAACTCTGGCCAAGGTCAAAGAAGGCCTGAAGTAAGAGTAAGAAGTATAATCAGTGCTTGATCTGCAATTCAAATCCCCACCCCTGTCCCGACCCCAAAGCCTACAGTTACTAAGCAATCAAGGGATTTCCCTGGGCCTGCTGGGTTCCTATACCTGGAAAACCCAACTGGAAAAACAAGGGTTCACTGTATCTGGCTGTACTTGGTGGAAAAAAACAAAGCTGAGAAGCCAAGAGGTCTCTGGGCCTATTTTCTTATCCATATGGGTGCCGTCTCAACAATTCTTAGGAGTTAAAAAGGTATATGTAACAAACAGTATTGCTAAGCCCAGGGCACCTCTTAATTACTAGACACTATCAAAGACAGCACATAAGACAATCTCATATCTTCTGTGGGGGATCCTAAGAATGCATCATTTCTCAGTATCCAAGGCACTGAGAAGTACTCTGGAGTTCATTTCCCTAACCTTAAGGCCCAAAAACCAAGAAGATAAGGTCTAATAAATCCAATCTTCCCTTCATTTCTAATCCCACTAGGCTCTAGGGAAGAAACCCAAAGTCACTACAGCAGGAACTTACCTCGCATACCTGGGGGAGGGGGCCGCATCCCTGGAGGGGGCATGCCCATAGGAGTCCCTCGTCCAGGAGGGATCCCCATTGGGGGACCCATAGGTGGCCGCATGCCAGGAGGAGGACCCATCATGCCTGAAAGAGAAAAGCCCCAAGAATATAGCTCAAGTGTCTTGTCTTGAAAAGATGGAAGAAACATACAAAGCTGTCTACTATGCCAGATAAACTATTCTACCCTCTTGGTCTCTCCTAACAAACTGGCACTTGGGCCAAACAGCCAGGGCTCCCAATGAATGGCTTTTGTTCAGCTAGTTTTAAGCCGGATCTCAGAGTAATCCTGCTTCATTACACAAATGCATCATCAATTTCAGTCAAGGTGCTATCTCATCATGAATCCAGCTAGTGTGTCGTATCAGTGGCCCACGGTTTCCTCATGACCTCCTCACCTGGAGGGGGAGCACCTCGGCCCATAGGTGGGGGAGGACCCCCACGGCCAGGTGGATACTGAGTTGGAGCTCCTGCAATACTAGCTGTGGCAGCAGCCGCAGCAGCCGCAACAGTGCCTCTTCCTTGTGGCGTCATCACCTAAAAGGACACAAGAAGGAAGGAAGCGAGAACAGTACAATGCAATGCAGTGTCCCACTCCCCTGCTTCCCCAGCTTGGTGAAACAATAGCAGATACCAAATTTCCTTAAAGCTACAATTCTTGGTATCAGACTTCCTATCCAAAACCAAGTGTCAGGAAAGGTCAAATGTGAGCATCCAATTCCTTCCCACCTTTTAGGTCAGAGTTTAAGGGTACCCAATTCAATTTACAGAAGGCATTTGCATTTTCAAGTAAAACCTGATGATAGGTTATAAGACAGCACATTGAATGTTGCCACAGAAACACCTTGCTCAAATACAGCTGGCCCAAATCCCTTTTGTGTACAAATTCACTTTAACAGAAGTAAACAGCCTGATCATCATGGTCTGGTCATTCTGGACTCCTCCCCAAACTGTCGATCAAAAGATGATCCCTTTCCACCAACTCCTCACCTGCTGAGATGGCCCACCAACCCCACGGACTGGCCCAGCAAGTCCTGCAGGAGCCTGTGGCATGGGAACACCAGCTGGGATTCCTCTACCCGCAGCCCTACCAATTCCTGGGCCCCCAGCAGCTCCTGCAAGTGGCACTCGGGCAATGCCAGTCTGAAAAATAAAGAAACAAGCTAATATACTCAGTGGCCTAGCAAATCAGAAATTTACTTTGAAATACCACTGCAAAGAGAATCAGATTTTAAAGGCATCAAAACACTTGGAATACTACCTATCCCATGTGCCAACATCATTCCTTCCCCATCCAAAAATATATGACCACAGGTTACCTCCAAAGCATGCTTAACTAGAAATTAAGTCTACAGAACTATGTCACAACTCAAACCACCTATATATACTCCCATAAAAACTAAATGAAGGGTTGGGGAGGTAGCAGAGTGCTACAGCACCACCTACCTGGCAAGTACGAGGCCCTGGGTTCGATTCCTGATTTTAAAAAAGTTCAACCAATAACGAAGTCCCAAGTTCCATTCAGAAGGATTCAGTGAAAAAGAGAACTTGACTTGGCAACAAAAGGACATGAAATCCACTTCCAACTAACTCTCACCTCCTCGGTGACAGTAGACAAATAATTCTACAATGCTGGGACTCAGTCCCCTCATCTGTAAACAGGATCATAATAAAACTGCCAACCTCTACTGGAAGTGTGTACTAAGCATTATGAGTATGTATACATACTTTTAACCAAAAAATTTGACAACTTCTCTTACAGACATTTATACCTGAAAAGTCACAACATGAGACCCAAAAAAGTAATAATGACTGGCATAAACTACTTTGTACTCACTGGAGGAATACCTTTAGGTCATTAGTGTGACTTGCAATGTAACTGAAAAAAATTTATAATATTAATTGAAAAAGCATAGCAAAATGTAACATATATATCATGTATTAAGTAAAATAAAAAATGAACATGGATAAAAAACAGGCAAAATTATTCTCTTGAATAACATCTTAAAATGAAAAAAGGGGGAACAAACTTGGTTAGACTCTCTCAAGCTTACTCTATTTATAAACTTAGTCAGTGTTGGTGTTACAGAACCAACACTGGGCTCAAATATCAGTATCATCAGTTGGTTGTGACATGTGAGGCAAGTTACTAAAACTCCAGTTTGTTTCACCTATAAAATGGGGATAATTTATCTCAAGACTATTACAGACATTAAAAAAATCCTGACATGCTCAGTACACAGCAAATGCTCACTATGGTGAGTTGTTGTACTGTAACTGGTCATGCACTCCATTGTGTAGAGTTAGGAATTGTTTAGTTCCACCTAGACTTTGCCATCACATTAAGAACTGGTGCAGCTGGCCCCTCAAGTGCCGCTCACCAACTGTATAAATGAGGAAGGGGGCTTTAAATTCAGAAAAACCCAAATCCTACTTCATTTCTTACTTTTAAGTTTCTTTAAGTTTCCATTTGTTACCTATAAAAGGGAGCAAACACAGAGGACTTCTGTGAAAAAGGCAATGAAATGCACAGAACCTAACACAGAGTTTGGCCATGCAAGCATCTCCCTCCCACAGGCTTCCTGCTCTACTCACATCTTTGGGAGGAGGTCCTTCAACGGTCATCGAGACCAGGTTCTCCCCTCGAAGCAGCACCAGACCAAGGACTCGTTTCTCCTCTCTTTCAGCTTGCTTAGAGTTTTTTGGCCTAGAGCAGGTTTAGAAGGAACAAAATAGCAATCATTAGAGGACAAGTAAAGCTCAGGTTCACCTGCCTGTGTGTCTCCAAGGCTGGCCTTGAACTTTCTCCTGACGAACAGTACAGAATCAAAAATGTCCCCAAGACAGGCCCTCTGTACCATCTCCATAGTCTGAGTACATGACCCCTTAGGTGACTACCTACCTGCTTCCTACCAACCCCAGAGGATGCGCAGACCAAGAAATAAGAAAGCCCAGTCCTGGCTCGGACGCTCTCCTACAATCAACTAGGAAGCTCTCCCCTTCAGCCAAGTCTTTGATATGTCAGAGGCAGCTAAACTCCCAAGTCAAAGAGAATTCCACCCACCCACTTTCATTCACTGCCCTTCCAGGACCAATTCAACCTCACAGGCCTCTGCTTTTATTCCTCATTTCACTTCAGAAATAAAAGAAGCAATTAAGGAAAAGGTAAGAGAATGGATAGAGGGTGGATTGTTTGCATCGATTCCTCAAAGGCACAACAAACCCCCAAACAATAAAAATAAGGCAAAAGAAATGCAACAATATAGGGGAAAAGGATGGCAGATGGGTAGCAAAAGCCAAGAGCCTCGGAATAGAAGAAAAAAATATTCTGATTTTTAAAAAAACTTAAAGATTTTATTTTGATATTTTATATTCTATTAATTGATTTTCTGTGGATAGACTTTTCAGCTCAAATTTTTCTATTTTTAAATAATAAGCATGTCATAATGGGGGGCCTTATGGTCATTGCAATTTTTTCCCCACTGACTTTTATTTTTTAAATTTTTTCCAATAAACATTTCTTATCAGAACAAAAATCAGTTTCTTTTAAAAAAACAGAAGGGAACCATTTGGAATAGTTTCACACTGATCTGCTGGCCCTTCTCAAGTACACACTAAGCACTCAGACAGCTCCACATTTTTTTTAATCTTGTATTTCTTGACCTTAGACCACAAAAGAAAACAGCTCCCTTTAAAAAATGTCCAAGAAAATTCACTATCAGTTACCACGTAATACAAAAACCGCACAGAACAAAAAGTATACACATGACCACAAAGTCACATAACTCTTTGGGCCCTGAGGTATCTTTAATATAAAACAGGTTTAAAAACCCTAGCTTATTTCATTCTGTAGGCCAGAAGCTTATGAGCAACAATACTTAAGGGAGTTAGCCAATAACTTATGGAATTGTATCAAAGCAGAAACATCTCCAATGTTTCTAAAATCACTGGCCCCAAATCAACATGGGGAGCAGAGCACTTACCCTGAAGAGGGTCAGAGGCTTCTTAAAGCAGTTTCAGACCAGGCTGCATTGGGAGAGCCCTTTAGGCTACAGCTTTACAAATAGGTAATGAAGCCAGAAAAATCAAGCTCTCCCCCCTCACACCTGTGGGGAGAACATGACAGCCCTTTACCCCAGTACCCAGGGGTACACAAAATGCGAGAAACAAAAAACTAGCAGCCCTCCACACTGACTTTTACTCTGCTAGAATCAGAAAGGCTTGCTGGACTAAGAAGTGTCAAGGTCCCCACTGATGTCTGCCCTCAGTAGCAGAAGAGAGAGGAGCCTACTAGCTACATCACCATCTGCCTGCCGCTTGGCCCACCCACCCGATCCACTCCTCTAACAGCCCCAGTGGCCCCCTCCTCACTTGATCTTCCTGAATTCATCGCAGTCACAAAGGATCAGATTCATGTGCTTGTCGAAAGCCTTGAAGGTGCCAATGAAGATGCGGCCATCTTGCAGGATGCACCTCATCCTGTAGTCAATGTGCTGCAGCATCTTGCTGCTCTTGCCCACCGTCTGCATGAAGAAAGCAGCAGGGTAAAACCCACATCTTGGGAACCCACAAACCCCTGGGCCCTCCCTAAAAATTTTCCACCACGGCCTTATTTTCCATGTGTCTATCACAGCCCTTTTCCTGAAAAGTCTCCTATGTCACCCTATTTTCCGCCCAATAATCTGCTGTTTTCCCTTTACAATCAATTCTTCTCAACTAGACACGGTAGCACACACCTATAATCCCAGCGCTTCAGACACCTATAATCCCAGCCCTTAGGGAGGCTAAGGCAGGAGGATCATAAATTCAAGTTCTGCCTAGGCAACTTAAACCCTGTCTCAAAAATTAAAAAAAAAAAAAAAAAAAAAAAAAAAACCAATGAATGTAATCTCATCATTTAGGAAGGCTAAAGCACAAGTTCAAATTCTACCAGGACAACTGAGCAAGATGTTGTCCCAAAAAATAAAAAGGGATAGGGTTGTGTCTCTGGTAGAGCACCCTGGATTCAATCCCCAGTATTAGAAGTGAGGGAAGCTTAGGATGTAGCTCAGTGTTCAGCCCTGGATTCAAACCTCAGTAACATTAAAAAAAAAAAAAAAAAGCTTTCTCGTATTACGACTGCCTCTATCTGTGTCATGTCAGGGAACAGTGTGGAATGCCACCAAATTAATCAAATTCACTTATACTAGATTCAATCACCTGCCGCAGATTATATGCGTGATTCAAGTGCCATGGGATATCCATATCCCCTTTTAATAAATAATAAAGGACTGGATTGCAACTGCCACTAAAATCCAATTAAGGAGTTTACTTCTTGAAGGGAGCTGGTCATCCTGGAAGTGTGGAGAATGGAATTATCCAAATCAAGAATTTGTTAGTATGGTTCCAAGATCCACAGAGGTAAACTTCTGATAGCCAGAGTGCTAATCACCGTGGACACATAATAGTATTAACTCAACATTCCTACTTTATAGTCTGGCTTCCAATGTGGGTTTGCTAAAATTGAGAGACCATAATACAGACATCACCGTCAGATGCTGCCCTTGGCAGTTTTATTCCTTTAGAAACACCACCTGACATTTGATCTGTATTATCAGCCTCCCATCAGTCTGACAGGTGAAGGCCAGTCCTAATTTACTGAAGTGCCTTTTCCCACTGTGCCTTCTGTTGATCTTTTTGAGCTTAAATAAATTCCTGAAACTTGACTCCCTCACCATACTGCCTACCACGTTTAAAATCCACATTATGTGATACTTTGGCTTTCAACTTACAGCAATCCTGCCTCAGCTCTCAAATACAGGAATTACAGGGGTGCACCATCATGCCTGGCTTAGTGATCACCTAAAGGGGCTTCTATCCACAGGATCTGACCCTTTAGGGGTACCGTTCAGTCATTCATTCCCCTTGTAATAGCTGACTTATTGGGTGCTCAGGAGTTGTCATTAGTCAGGCACTGTGATTAGTACTGTTCATATCACAATACTCAAAATTGGACCTATTATTCCTATTTTACAGATGAAGCCACTGAACCTGGAAGAGATCAAGAAACTTTGTCACATGTCTCATCAAGTGGAAAGCTGTGCTGGAACCAATCAATTCTTTAGCATCATATGAGGTTTCCTTGCTTCTAGTCTTATCCACTAATTAAGAGTTAAAGAGATCATTATAAGCCCAACTGGGTTCAAGACCCTTCGTAGTTAAAATCTTTCGATGGCAAGCTTCATCACTAACATGACAAAGTCACATGCAAAGCCTTCAGTTACCAGGTTCCTGCCAGTTCGTCCCATGCTACCTTCTACGTCTTCCTCCCCCCCCCCCCAACAACTTCGAATCATGCTACCCTTGTTTGCCCTGTGTTTTCCAGTTCCTATTTTTGCTAGGAAACCCGACAATTATCAATAACCTCTCAGGAATCATCAACTCAAAGTATTCTTACCCCGCCTCCCACTCCGCCGTTACTGTTGCCTAGTTCTTAATTTCCACACTGAATTACCTTATCCATATGCTCAACTAGAAAGCTAAACTTGTTAAAGAAATAAAACACTTCACGTTGTAGCTCCAGCGCCTGCATAATCGTTACATACACAAACATTTAAAATACGCTTCACACATGACTGGAAATCCTGCAATCACCCTCCTACTCTCTCTTCGCCATACAATAACCCAGCAAATCTGTAGTTTGGACCATAAATCTTCCCGCAACAAATTCTTGCACTCTCAACCCCTTTCACCAGTCGGAACCTAATTACCAGTTCCTCCCACCCCGATCCACAAATTTACTTCATGCCTCCCAGGTCTCACGCTTTACAGCCACCACCGAGCGACCCGGCCCTCCCTTTTCCCCCTAATCCCGCCAAACGGTCAAGGTCCTGTTATTTGGTGCCGGAGGCGAACAGCCGCGGTCAGGGCCTTCATCCCCTTAAATGGCTCCAACCACGGCTTCCTCCCCCATCCGCTACGGCCTCCAAACACTGCAGACTTGGGGGCTCTAGTGCCACTGGCCCAAGCTTTCTTACCATGGTGGCGGTTCTGATGGCCCGGATTCGCGCCGGATTCCCCTCCTCAGAGGCCTAGACAGAAGCACCAGCGGTTTCCCGCCGCTGCCACCGGAAATTCAGCCGCTAGTAAAATGAGGTCGAGTGGAATACTACTTCCGGACCCAAGCCTGAGCTCTTGAGTTCCGGCCTCAGGGCGGATTAAACAATATCGAGTTTGGTGGGCAATGTTAACTTCAGTTTTGGCATTCTCGAGAGTCTTAGCATTCTCTTGGGACACACACTTCTGCTCGTTGTGGCGGCTGGTGTCACCTCGTCCCTCCCCCCTCTCCCCGTAATAGCACTACTCCGCCCTCATTTCCTCCACCCTCCAGAGGCTCTGTTAAACTACCTTTGCTTTCCTGTTAACTGCCTCTTATTTTCCTCAGAATATTGACTGCTGTCCAACATGATGCTATAAGCAGTTTCTCCTTCTTCCAGGGGATAACGCCAAGGTTCCCCACTGAATGCCTGAAACTGCAGATAGTTTCCTATCCACACATGCCTATCCCAATTGCCAGCATCTGGATCCTTGCTCTTTACGGCCACTGTTAAGTAAAATAAGGACTACTGGAACACAAGCACCGCAGTACTACCATCTGACAATAAATATTGCTACCAAGTGACTAGCAAGTGAATAGCATATACCGCATAGATAAGCTGGCAAAGAGATGATTCACAGCCAGGCAGGACTCGGCAAGTATTTCATCATGCTATTAGAGTAGTGCACAATTCAAAACTTATGAATTGGTTATTCCTGGAGTTTTTCATTTAATACTTTTGTACCATGATCGACTGCAGGTTACAAATCACAGGAAATAAAACTTTGGATAAAAGCGGACTACTGTGTACTTTTAATTATTTTATTATCCCTTTCCCTTTTAGAAGCTCCATGTGTGTGTCAATTTTTTGGTGTGTATTATTCATTGCTGTGGTGCCTAGAACACTACTTAGCACAAAGAACTCAATATATGAATAATCTCATTCAGTCTCATGACTTTTAATTATTATCTATATACCCAGGACTTTCAAATTTATTCCTCTAACCTGGACATTTCTATCTTTTGACCTTTTATACCTCGCCACCTTCTTGATGTGGCTGTCTTACTGGTACACTAAATTTAATATGTTGAAAACTGAATTCTTCATCCTATTCATTATCCTAAACTACTTGTGCTTCAGAGATCGCCATTGCAGTATTTTTAAAGCCAACAAAAGATAGAGTGACAAACGTGAAGCATACTTCTGTCCCATCTCATAATCATCCCATGAGGAAATCATATGGACCCCCACATTAAAATTATTCTAATATCACTGGCTTGTATTACTTAATGATCTCCTTATTGGTCTCTTGCTTCCTCTCTCATTCTCATATAGCCAGAATCCTTCTAAAATGTGCTTAAATTACATTAGATTATTTCAATGCCCTATAGCCCACCTCCCAAAGACTTCCTAGCCCTGCACTCCTTTCCAACCATGTTTCCAACATTCTGCTCATTCATCAGCCTCCAGTCACTCTCCTCTGCCTGCTGCTCCTCAAACTCAGTGATGAAAGCTGCCACCTCAGAGCTGTGTCATCTTCACAACATCTGTAAAAGGTGTTTTCTGTCAACCTCTTTCTGTCAATCTATAGAGAAGGACATGGAGGCCAGAGAGATTAATTAGTTTGCACGGGTGACAGTCAGGACCTGAATATAAGTCTACCTCACTCTTTAGTTGTTTCTTTGCCCCCAAACTACCCAGGCACCTAACATATCAAACATGTGTGCATTCATTTATGTCTTTAAAATATTTAGCACCTATTAATGCCATGCCATGTTAGGGGATACAAATTTCCTTCCCCCAATGTGCTTATATTCCAGCGAGAAAGACAATAAAACCAAATCAAGTGTACAAAGTACCATTAGAATAATGTGAAAGAATAAAGGTTAAGGGCACTGAAAATGCTGATGTGTAACTTTGCCCAGATAATCAGGAGAGCCACTAAGATTAGCAATTAAGATAGCACTATTGCTATCACCAGAGTTCCGCTGTAAGTTTTGTCTGGACAATTCTAACACCTCTGCCAATCCCAGTTTTATCTTAGTCTCAATGCTGTTCATCACACTTTATCATTTATTCACAAGATCTCTTCCAGAACATCCATTCTATATATTTATTAATATATCCAGAAGAAACTTTGAGCTGAAATTCAATGTATGATTGTAAAATGTGGCGTTTAACTTTTAAAAATTATTACAGGACCAGGGATTTAGCTCAGTGGCATAAGTATCTGCCTGGCAAGTACAAGGTCGTGAGTTTGATCCCCGGTACCAAAAAAAATTATTACAATAAAAGATACATTGCTATTAATCTAACTCAAATTATTCTCTTTCTCTTCTAACACATTATCTCCCATTGTTCTTGCCACTTTCTGAGGCAGTTCTGGAAAAAAATATATATATATGTATATATCTTTAAAGTTTTTATGTCTTTAACAGTTGTGCTGTTGTGGCTGCCTCAGTATCCTAAGTTGATTGAAAACCTTTACCTTTATTATCATTTTTACTTTGGGGGAAGAGCCAGAAGTTGCATGGTGCCAGATCCAGGCAAAAAACTTTTTACAAGCTTGGCTTCCATCAGATGACACTCACAGCAGCATTCGCTGTACTTTTCATCAGATTTTGTAAAGACACAGAGAGGACTTGTAGCACTGCTTCAAAAAGTGGCAAGAATGATAGCTGTGTTCAAAGGGGGGGACTATTTTGAGGAGAATTAACATATCTAATAAATCTTTAATAACTTTTTAAAAATTTAAACATTTACCATATTTTTATTATTTTTTTAAATTTTATTTAACGAGAAAAAGAAAAAACAGAAAAAGGGTACAAGTTATACAGAATTTCAAAAAAAAATAAACAGTAGGAAATCACTAGTTAATAGATTACATATTGTCATCTTAGAAATAGTTGTTCAAGTTACAAAATTAAAGCATATAAAGTGAACATTCAAACAGTGAGACTGCAAACAGTTCTGTTCAATGATCCAACAAAAATTCAGTAATATGGTTATCTATCTTATATGCTTAAATATACATGCAGTTATATCCTTTTAGAGCATTTCCTTTTCCTCTCTTTTTTACAATGACAATTACACATCTTGGGTTTTATTACTCCCACAGTTATTACTTTTTTTGAAGAGAATAAAACCAAATGTGACATAACAAAACAGAGTCAGTCAAATCAAAAGGATGGACATAGTACATAATGTAAAAACAGAATACAAAGTGATCAACAATGGTTACCAAAATGCCTTTTGCTACCTTAAAAATAATTGCCTATATCATCAGTTATAGTAAAATTGAACAAAACAGTAAAAAACAAAACCAATAAAACCAAAACTTTGGAGACATTACAGGAATTCAAAATAGATAATAGTCAAACCAGAATGGGCATCATAGTGAATTTTATTATCTTTACAATTGCTGCCTATAGTCTCAAACTTGGTACTATCAAGCAAAACAGAAAAGAGTAAAATCAGTCCAAACAAGATGGTGAGAGCAATACAGGGTTTCAAATCAAGTTAATTGGAAATCAAAGTGGGTTACTATAATATATCCTGCTATTTTTATCTATTTTTTCCCTTAATTAAAAAGATAAAAATAAAAAATAAATAATAAAAAAAGGAGATTGAGATAAAAGAGGACATAACAACAAAACAGCACAGGTCAGAACATAACCATTTAAGCAAAATAGTGTTTCACCATAAGATATCCCGACATAAAAGTAGTTACCACAGTGTCTCTTTCCTTGAAATCTTTGAGTATAACTTCATATACTGTAGCATCAAACATAGCAAGACAATGTAAAACCATTCAAGAGAATGACAGTATTACAGGGTATTTAGAACCAACTAACAAAAAATGAACAATGGTTTCTGTATTATCTCCTTGTCTATAGAAGTTTTTGTTTATATTATCACATATAATAAAATCCAGTAAGATACAACATGTTAAGACCAATGGAGACAGAAGAACAAAAGCTTGATGGGACTTCAAAACAAGATGATATTAAATCAGCATTAGCTATTATGATGTCTTGGTTTCTCCAAAATAGCTGTTCATACCATACAACCTTCTCTGCCTCATTTTTGTTGAGCTCTTTTTCTGTCATTAGTTGTCAGTTTGTCTTCTTCATTTCACTTTCTGCTCCATTCATTGTGGCCTCTCTGCCACAGTTTCTGGAATCTTGGTATTTTTCTCTTTTAGAATGTCCTGCAATATTCTGTGTAGAGTTGAATTGGTGGTTACAAATTCTCCTAGTTCCTCTTTATCCTGGAAGCACCTTGTTTCTCCATTAATTTCTAGGGACAGTTATGCAGGATAGATCAATCTTGGCTGGAGGTTATTGTCTTTCAAAGCTTAATTATTTTGCCCCATGCTCTTCATGATTTGATGGTTTGTGCCAAGAAGTCTGCTGTAATTCTGATGGGTGTTCCCTTGTAAGTGATCTGTTTTATGTCTCTGACAGCTTTTAATATTCTGTTCTTATATTGGATTTCTGGAATTTTGATTATTATATGCCTGGTTGTAGTTCTGTTTGGGTTGTAGCTGGCTGGTGTCCTGTATGCCTCATAGATCTGAATGTCTTTACCTTTTTCCATATTAGGGAAGTTCTCCTTGATTATTTCTGTGAATAGACTTTGCAGTTCATTTGTTTGTATCCCTGCTTCTTCCTTTACATTCTTAATTCTTAAGTTATAGATCATCTTATCATCTTCTAGCCTTTGTATTGTTACTGCTTTTTTCCTTGTTATTTTTAAGAAGTTTTTCCTTTCATGCTCCCACATTACAAATCTGTCCTCCAGTTTAGATAATCTATACTTAGTTTCTTTCAAGATGTTATGCCAGTTTTCAATAGAGTTTTTAGTTTCCTGGTAATCTCTTTGAACCTGCTTCATGTATTCTGCATTTTCTCTATTTTCTCCATCAAACAATTCTCCCCTTCTTTTCTGTTCTTCCATTCCACCATCTGTTTTTTCTTGGGAGGTGCTTAGCATTTCTTTAACTATTCTACCTATATCTTGCTTTACTTGGTTAATTACTTCACTTTTGAACTCGTCTATGAGGTCCCAGAGATATCGCTTTATGTCTGTTGGTGCCGTGCCTGATATTGCATGTTTTCTGTCCTCATTCTCCTTTGCATTC